ACAGCACAACTCGACCGAGCGAGTCCGCACTTGCCAGCAGCGTGTCCTGAAAAGCAAAGGACCTTCCATCATGCCTGCGGGCGACATCCAGCAAAGGTACCTGGTGGTTCGTTGCCACAGCCACAACTGGTACCTCAGAGACTCATAACAACAGTGGTGCAGCACAACGCGCGTCTTAACTTAAGACATCCCGGTGCGCCTGATGGTGCTTCAAATAACTCATTTTGTAGTTGGCCCCCTTCGCCAGGGAATAAATGTACACCTGGCCAGCCATCAACGGCAGCATGGACTCATGAGGATGTCTGATAGAAGCTGAAGTTCTTGCTGGGCTGCGGCTTGTGCAAAATGCGGAAAGCATGTGGAATTAAATCGCGCATCACAAGACACTTGCTGCAGAACATCAAAGCCTCCTTGTCCTCAGAGGCTGAAATGAGATATCCTTGGCTGGACCTCAGGACTCCACTTTAGGAACGGAATTGCGAGATTTGCTTTCCTGGGACCACACGGGGAGTAGCAACACTTCAATGGAAGCAGCGCGTGGGCCACACGTACACCTGGGAACTGGCAACATTGGTCAATAGACAGTGTGGCCTGCCAGCTACAGCTGCGATCGGCTACGGTGAGGAGAGCACGGTGTCTGACTGCCAAGTTGGTGAGCACCTCAGAAAAGCAAAGTCACGAGATGCGAAGTGGAAGCTTTGTGGGGTTCGTAGTGCAAGAAATCCCTCGGTGTCCCACACCAGATGGAGGCCCGTAAGTGCAGTCAATGATAGATGCCGACGAGTCTGACGTATTGACCTGGGACAGGGATTGGCTGTCATGTGTCTTCTCCTGCAAGTGAAAAGCTAAACGCGAAGCGACAAACTTGTTCAAAGAGCGGGGCCAGCAAGCAAGGAGGCTGGCCATGGGCCGCAGGCACGAAGACTAAGCAGGTCACACCTGAACACCAATTTTGCTCAAGCGCAGGTCAAGGCAGACATCATCATGAACCTGCACAGGCAGCACTTTTACCGGGGATGCCAAGACAGCACCAGGAAGAGGTCAGTCAAACCACCTACGCAAGCCCCTTGCTCCGGTCAACAATGTGCTCTGTGATGGCGCGGATGCTGGGGTAGTCGAACATGAGAGCTGCTGGCAACTGACCAATGCCACTGAAAGTTCTGGAGAGTTCATTTCTGAAGGCCACCGCAGAAAGACTGTCCAAGCCTGACTCCATGAGCGGAGTGTCCAGGTGCACCTCCTCATCTCCACCAGCAACTTGCTCCACGACATGCTGCAACTTGCTCTGGACCATGTCCGGGTCGAGTCCTTGTGCAACTGGTGCTGCTGAAGCGGCGCCTGGCACACCGGCGCCATCTGGACTAGCGTACATCGCGTCTGGAATTTCCTGCTGGACTTGCTTTTGGACTCCCTTGATGAGCTCCATGACGCCCAAGACGCGGGATTCGATCTTGCCATCTTCGGCACGTCGAGCCAAGTCAAGGGCTCTGTTCGCAAGCTCGAGGGCTTTGGATTTGTTCCCCATGGTGTTGGTGACTTCTGCTGAAAGGCAAACAGAACTAGCTTGATCGGCCACAGCACCGCACTCACGGAACAAGTCTTCTGCTTTTCGGCAACAAACCAAGCCTTCCTGGCCACGGTTCAAGATGGCAAGTCCATGTGCGACGTGCGTCAAAGCAGTGGCCTCAGAGTATGGATCATCATTCTTCTTTGCAATGGTCACAGCCGCCCTCGCCCGCTTCACTGCCTCATGAGCCGAATTGCGAAGGTTGCGATTGGCCTGAATCCCCTGCTGGCTTTCGCCTTGCTTCCTGCCCTCAAGTTGCTGCAGCTCCTGGCCGTGCCTGTCCCCTTTGCGCAGGCTCGAAGATGCCAAGAATTGGAGCAAAGCTGTCTCGCCACGAATGTCCTCAATGGCCTTGCAATACTTCTTGGCAACCAAGGCAAGCTTGACAGCTTCCCTTTCATCATCTTTGGCCAGGTGCGCAGCCGCTAGCTTTCGCAAAGCATCAGCATAACCCTTCTTGTAGTCCAGGTCCTTGCAGATGGCTTTCGCTTCATCGGCACACTCTATGGAGGAGTCTGGCGACTGGTTTGACAAGTGCGTGTCTGCGAGGCTGAGCAAGGCTGCTGCTGCCCCTCTTCTGTCACCAGATTCGAGCAGAAGTGACTTTGCCTCGGAGAGCTTCCCCACTGCCGATGCAAACTCACCCTTTGCGGAGAACACGTTGCCAATTGCAGTGAGGGCAGCTGCTTCCAGGCGTCTGTCCTCTGTCTCTTGTGCAGCTCGCAGGGCTTCTTGAGCAGTTGTTGCGGCATCATCGTTCTTCTGATCCGCAAGTTGCGCGTTGACCAAAGCCACTGTGGCCATCACTTCGCCCTTCTTGTCCTGGATGTCATCTGCTAGCTGTTTGGCCTCTTCTGCAGCCTCCTTAGCAGGCGACGCCTTCTTCTGAGCTGCATGCGTAGCTGATAGCGTCAGCAAGGCATTCAGCTGGGCGTGCTTGTCACCCAGCTCCTTAAGGATCTCCAGCTCCTGGTTCTGCTCGGATGCGGCTAAGTCTAGCTCATGTCTTTCCTTGCGAACCAGAGCAAGTGCACCATGTGCCGATGCCTCTGCACGCTTGTCACCCTTGGCTTCATATTCCTCCAAGGCCCCTTCGGCCTCCTTCAAGGCACGTTTGAGATCGCCGCGCTGGACGAGCGAGCTTACCAGGAGGTGCAAGGCGCTGCCTTCACCTTTCGACTGCTGCATCTTGCGGCAGACGGCTAGGGAGCGTTCGGCAAACTGAACTGCCGGGCGACTCTTCTCCTTGAATACATGCACCTTGGCCAGCAGCTGCAGGGAATTCACTTCGAGCTTTGGACTGCTCACCTCCTGCGCTATTTCGAGCGCAGTATGGGCTGTGCTCAAGGCCTCAGCTGGACGCCCCGCGTCCATCTGTGCCAAAGCTAGCCAGTTATGACACCTTCCCTCCCCCATTCGGTCCCCAGCTTCCTTTGAGAGGGCAACGGCTGACTGAGCAGAAAGAACGGCATCCTTTGACTGGCATCGTCGAAGCTGAGCTCTTGCTGCCAATACATTGGCAAAGGCTTCCAGCCTCTTGTCGCCAGCTGCACGCAGCAATGGCAATGCTTCCTCAATGTTGCTCAATGCTTCGCCGGCCAAAGCCTTTGCCAGCTGGCCCTCTGCAACGGCCAGCAGCATGCAGCCCTGGCCGCGCTTGTCGTCTGATTCCCGGAAACTCTTCAGCTCAGCCTGGGCCTTGTCAATGGCAAAATCTGGAGATTGCTTCAAGCGCTCGCCAGCGCAAAGCAGGCGCACGGTATCTTGTTGACCAGCCTTGCAACCTGCTTCCCGAAACATCTCCAGGGCTTGGGAACCTTTCTGGAGCGCCTCTTCTACTTCCTCATCCTGCAAGTGTTCCTCTGCCACAGAGTACAGCAGAGCTGCTTCTCTGACTTTGGGGTTCTGTTTCTTGTCCTCCGCAAGCTGGCTGTAGTATGAGGCGAGGCTATCAGCTTCAGCCTCGAGGAGTTTTTTGGAGTCCTCGTCCAGTCGGCGACGCTGCACCTGTTCTTCGTTCTCTGCCATGGCCCCTAAAATCAGGGGCTATCTATGGCACCTGAGGTACCTTGATCACAAGCTGCAGCATTCTTCAGACTGCAGAGCATTGACCAAGGAAGGCATGTTCAACACTTAAATGCTGGATGGTGTGCAAGAGCAACTACTGCCACATCTGCATACATGCGTGTGTCAATCCGCAAGAGCCTCCCCGTGCGAGCTGCACCTTGAATTTGAACTTTAGCGTGCTGGAATCTGTGGCCTCGAGCTGACTTAGGTGCGCAGTTCAGACAACTTACCTCATGTCACTAGTCTGGGTATGAGGTCTGGATAAATGCGGGAACATCAAACATCGAAAGCAATGTCAAGACGCGTTGTCATTTGCTGGTACCTGTCTAGGCGTGGATTCGTCCTCAAACTTTTCAGATTGGTAATAGCAAGTTCCAATGGTTTGAGAAATCATAATCATAAATAAGTGGATGGGCTGCGAAGGGGGGTGCGGAATGTGCCCCAGGAGGGGGCCGTCAGGGGCTTTCAACTGATCTGTGCTATGCATGTGCTTGCTACACCTTGCAGCCCCGCACTACCCCCGCACTGAGGTCGTACATAGTTTTCTTGTTGTGTCCTTCTTACGTTGACTTCTTTTGTCCATTGTTTCTCAGTGTTTCCCATTCTTGCTTGTCGTTCCTAATCCGCCGAGCCCTCAGACTGTAGGAGTCCAGGGGAAACATCTACCCATTTCCTCTCCCCCCTCACTTCTTGCCGGGCCAGGCCTTATGGACTTTCATGCCTGTGGACTGCCGTCTTCAAGGCCAAGCCACCCTTGTCTGCATGCACGTAGTTCAGCGGTCCAGCCTTCCTTCTTTTACACGCGGACTTTTGTTCGTGCTGGCAGATGCTGGCTTTCGTTCAGAGCCATGGAATTTCAGCTGTCCCGCCCTCCCCTCCTCCTCCCTTGCTGCCCCTCATCTCTGCTAAAGAGAAGAGTCCCTCTCTCTTGTCCTCGGCAGTGCAACTTCAACTACCATTCCATTTCGTCTTCTCTCTACTGTCTAATTTTGTCCTATTCGCTGTCACAGCTAAATAAGGGCTTAGAGCACGGTTTGAGGTTAAGGAACTTGGCACCTGTCACACAATCTCTCCCTACCTCTCCCCCTCCCTCCCTCCCTCCCTCCCTCCCTCCCTCCCTCCTCCTACCTGCAGGCTCAGTCTCCCGTCGGTCGCCATACAAGCCATTTTAGGCAATCCCGTTGTTTTTTATCGGCTTTCTTTGACTCCATGTGTCTGCATCTGTCTTTTGCTGTCATCGTTTGTCTTCCCTCTAGATTGTGTCTGCCTCTGTCTTGATGTCGTTTTAAACACCCTGTGGGTCCAGAGTCTGGGGATCTTGACCGCATCCGAACCAATGGCAAATAATACTTGCCGCACACTTGCAACTTGTCGTCGCATGCGCCCTCTGTAAAGCATGTTCAGCCCCCCTCCTGCCTCCAAGACATGTATGCTACCACTCTTCGTGCCAGCCTGGGACGCCGAGTACACGCAGCACATCGCAGACACAGACAGGTCTACGGCAAGCATCAAAGCGTTGGAGCCATGAATTTGGATGAAACATTCAAGACAAGGCTAAGTCGTCAGCCAAAAGGAACAGACCTGTATCATCGAACTTCAAGGTCCGCACTTCCGTCTCAACCTGAGCATCAAGGCTCCACCATCTGCCGCAACGCAATCAAACTCCTGTGAGAGCCTTCAGCTTTTGAAGAACCATGCCATTCTGCACGTTGACCAGTCGCAGGACAGCATTCGAGTTCGCTGCAACAAAAACCTGCAAAACGCAGGGCGTATATTGAGACAAGGTCTTCGACCAAATGACGTGTGTGGTACGGGTGTCATGTACGAAGCCTGTGGGTTGAAGGGCAGGAAAGCTGCCACGGGAACCGGGGAGGAGTCAGTGAAAACCTGCAACAAGCGTAGTGCGTGTGAAGGGGTTTAATCATGTCACATGGCTGACCTTCAGCATCTCCCCAGTATCCACATTCCAGAATCGTACGGACTTGTCGATGGAAGTTGTGACCTTGTCGTTGTCAGCTGAGCTCCCACAGTTGGACCCATGCCCAGCAACTTCCCATCAAATTGCGAAGTGCGGGAAAAGTAGCTCAGCAGTTTTTCCAAACTAAACCGCGCAAAGCTTCATTCGTTAACTGGCGGTGGCTGCTGGTTGAGGGCAGCACCAACTGATCCTCCAGCAGGTTGAAGAAGACTGACGTGATTGCCCGAGAATGTCCGACCAGTCGGGAATGTACCTTAGTTAAAGGCATTCCCATTGGATGCACGTGCGTTAATGGTCCCTGGCATAGCAACATTGACATTGACGAGGGCTTTCATGAAACATGACAAACCGTCGGATGGGCCCACTGTGCAGGAGTTCTGGGTCATCGGCAGCGATGTTGGAGTGGTCTGGTGGTGGCGCAGCCTGGCATGGGATTACGATCCTGTACTGAAAGGCGCTGCAGATCGCTGCAGGGCTGTAGCTTTCCTGTGCATCTGCACAAGCGACAGTACTCCAGGTCCCGAACATTGTCACCGCGGAAATCTTCAGCAGCCAACATTGCTATCTCCATCTCAGTCCTTCGCCCCCCACCCCAGACATGCCGTTTTTGTTGGCTTTGCCCGGAAACTTGCATTTGCTCTGTCCTGTAGCAGCGGTAAACCACAACTGTGCCATCCTTGGACGCGGTGACGAAGAGGATGTACCTGCTCATTGACGGTGGCCCTGAATGCATCTCATCCCAACGTCCTCACTGCTTTACTCCTCGAACGGGGAAATCCTCCAGTTCATGCAAACGGGTGTCGAGATATCCCGACCGTCACAATGTACACTGCCAGGCCAACCTGAACCTGAGCAATGTGCTTGGGGTCAAGGAAGCTCAGCATTGACCACGTAAGCTCCTAGGGATCTGTACAACAAGAAACCGCAGATTGAAACTGCTAACTGGCACAATGGCCAGACACCTGAGGAGTCTATCTTGAAGTTTAGAGAGAAGCCCTTCACAGCAACATGGCTGCCACTCTTACCTGGGTCCCTCCAGATTCAGAGTCATCCCAGTTTGGCATGCCAAATTCAGGGAACCGCATTTCAAATGGGTCGGAAATACTTGTCCTGTAGCCTCGCGTTCAAAACGTCAAGGCAGCACAGGCTGCGCAACAGCCATTCACATGCCTCTTTCAGGCGTCAGTGACTCAGTCATCATCCTCCAGCTTCAAACAATTCCACCACTGCGTCAAATTCCGCCTGCCCTCCTGGCCAGCGGGTTAAACTTCTGTGGTCAAGCACAACCAGCCGGCTGCATTGTTTACTTCTAGAACGGAAGGATTTGGTAATATCTTAGAAGTCTCAGCAGCGCGTGAAGAACCACACACTAGTCGCTCAAATGAGTAATCAACAAATTACGTTCGCAAGAAGGGCTTAGCTCAGCTTAATGGCCTCCTGGTCTTCTGACAGCCCATGCACTCTGATTAACGCCACATGGAAGCTCCCGAGGGTTGAGATGGCAGCATCTTCTCTACATCCTGGGCTCCACTTTTTGGGAAGATTGGGAGTGCCGCAGAGTTCCCGCTCGCCTTGGAGCTAGCCCTGGGGAAAACCACTCTCTCAGAAAGAACTACAGGCGGTCAAAAGGCCTCGGGCCTGAAAGGAAAGCCCCGGCCTGAAAGAATGACCCCAGAATGGGGAGGAGAGGAAGGAAGAGCCGCAGCTCAAAAGGGCCTGAAACCTGAAAGGAACGCCCCGGCCTGAAAGAATGACCCCAGAAGGGGAAGAAGAGGGAAGACTGCCTTTATCTCTGTAACAGGCCATTCCGGCGCCGGGTCACGGCTGGTCCAGGCCGGCTGCAGATGCTGCATCCCAGCCCGCCCTGCGCACAACTGCACGCGCGTTCTCGCGTTGCAGCGTGATGCTCAAGGCTTGCAGCAGCTTGACCTTCTCCGTCACCGCTGTATCGCCACTGCGAGTGGCCAGGGCTTCTGCCAATGTCTGCCAGGTCTGCATAGCTGTGAGCCACCGCCGCAGGCTTCAGCGACCAGTGGCACAAACTGGGGGCCTGCTGTCGCACATGCCTCCTGCGTTCCCTGGTGCACCCTTTTCCGGGCCTCAAATTCCTCAGCGGCCCGCGACCCCGATGTCGCGGAAATCAAATGCCGCTGGGCCGTGCACGCCCCAGCATGGCACCCACACATCAGCTGGCCTGCGTCCTGCACCGGCAGCAGGGCCGGGAGGAGTCACTCCATCATCATCGGGCCACTGGGGGAGCAGGCCAGGCAGCACAGACCTCAAACGGCTGTGCCGCTTGACACGGTCCCCTCCACAGCACACACCCTGGCGTGGTCGCCGAGGCTGTCCGCCACACCATCTCGGAGCGGGCAGGCTGCAACGGGCAAGCGCAGACGGAGCTGCACCATGACCCTGGCCGCCACGTGAAGGCCAAGCGCCTCACAAGGAGGGGCGTGGAGCCAAGCTCCAACACCTGGTTGTTGCAGCGACACCCGGCCGGCTCAGCTGAGTCAAGTGCCTTGGACAGCTGCTGCTGTCGGAGTTGAGGCGGCGCTGGAGAAGGCACACGGTCGGCAGCTGGGACTTCCCGGTTGAAGGTAGCGAGCGTGTCAGTCAGTTCAAGGGCGTAGTTGGCGTCGATGGCAGTGCACAGGATGGCCGTGGCAATGATGGAAGCGATGTAGGCCGCAGGGCCATGGCGTCTGGCGTGGCGGAGCCCCAGTCCGCCAGCGCTCGCGGAGAGCGAGGATTGCTCCCAAAGGCCCGGTGCACAGCTTCTCCAAGCAGGCCCGAACCTGTCCATCAAAGGCATCCATGGCCTGATGGTGCAGCAGAGGGGGGGTGACCCGAGTCGCGTATGCGACTTTTGCAGAGAGAAGCGCGCTGCCGCAGCAGCAGCAGCAGCAGCAGCAGCAGCAGCAGCAGCAGCAGCAGGAGGAGCAGCAGCAGCAGCAGCAGCAGCAGCAGCAGCAAGCCGGTCTGAGGGTCCCCGAGTTCACCAATGGCCCGGAAGATGTTTGCGCTGGCTGCCACCCGTTTCGCCTGAGCGTGGGCCTATCCTGGGCATCCGCGGCGGGTCAGTCCCTTCCCTGGTTTGGCTGACAAATAATGGCAGCGCTCTCCGGTTCAAACACATCCGCCCCCAAAAAGGCAGAGCCCACCCTGCCCTCTCAGGTTGCCAGCGCACCAATCCTCCCGGAAAATAAAAGTGGCAGGGAGACTTGAACCCAATTTGCTAGGGACTCTCCTTTTCGTCTTCTGCAACCCCTTGCAGGGCGCGTGGGGATGCGCAAGAGTACCGACCATTCTGGTTCTTGATAACCTCATCCCCCTCCAGGGTATATTCCCCCCGAGCGGAGACATAGGCGCACTGCGCGTCGAGGACCCATGTAGCGAGATGCACTAGGTCACGAGGTCAATGAGATAGCAGGCTTCCCAAGACTTTACGTAAGTCGCAGCGACCCAGCGCATCCACTTCCCTGCTACTCCAGCCTGCAGTGCGGACTCTCCCTCTCCCCCTCTTCTTCTGTTACGGGTTGCAAGCTGCCCTCAAACCGCACTCCAAATCCATAAATCTGAGTCCATGTTCGGGTACCGGCAAAGACCGGGAGGCCATAGATTCTCACACTAACTTTCTGCGCTTGCCCACTGTGATCCTCATTGCAACTCCTCAGGGTCCGTTTGTGTGTGCCTTCATTGTGCATCCTGTCTCAGAAGATCCTCCCCAACCAGTGACTACTCTTCCTCTTCTAAGCGCTCCTAATTGTGCCAGGGCTGTGCCCGAAGCACAACTGCTCGCAAGTGTCCGAAACAATGACACATCACAGGTGAGGATCACCATCTTGTTGTTCGTTGCACCCTTGCTCGCATAAGTCATCACTTTCACGCTTGTCCTGCTGTGAGACGTAGTTAGGACTCTCCCCGATCGCCTGTCTTCCCGGATCCAGGACAACCCTGCTGAACAAAAGCTGGCAAGGCATTCTTGTGCTAAAAATTGTACAGCTCCCTTTTCATTCGGCAAGCTGCCTTTGGCAAGGCGACGCTTCTCGCCAAAATTAATCTTAGGGTGACACGCCTTTTTCTTGCTCCTCGTTTCTTCCTGATTTTATATGCTGCGCATATCCATTGCGGAGCAGGCCAGGACTGCGCCCCTAGCCCACGAGTTCAATCCGTCGCAGGTCTCCAAGCAGCAGTGTGCCAAGACATGACGACAGGCAGTGATCTCTTAGCAGGCATTTTACCGTGTCCCCTCGGACGGCCTTCCGTTAATTCTTCTTGGTTTGGAAACTTCCTTCTGTTGCTCTCTTCTGCTGACCACAACGATAGTGACAGACCTTCCTGGCAAATGCATGTGCAAATGCTCACCGAATGGAAGCATGCACACCTTGGTGACCTAGAGGAATGGGGCACCTGCATGTCTGATGGACACCCCCAGGCCCGAGATCTCAAGCTGAGATCTGTCACTTACTCTACTACAGTAGGCGTTTCCACCCACTTAACAGACTGCGCGGCCCTTCTGATGCGGCTTGCGTATTGTCGATGACGGCATCAGCTTGGAATAAGATCAACTGTGACATCTTCAAGTCTCTCTTGCTAATGGCTCATGCACTTGTCGGGACAGCTTCGTTTTATTTGCTGCACAGGGTCTCATCTCTCACAGGGAAAACAGCCTCGCTCCTTGCCTGGCAATTCACCATGCTTCTCACGACCGCCATTCCTGACTCGCTCGGCTCACTGACTGGCCTATCACGTGGAGATTCTGCTCTTTGAAAGTCCGGCTGACTGTCGAGTTTTTGTAGCGCACCAGGCAGTCAAATGGTACACAGCATGACGGCTCTAAATAACGAAACACACAAAAGCAATAAGCCATGCGGTAGCAACACAGAAACTGAGGCCCAAAGCCAAATGGCGGAAAGCACGCACAAGCGGAGCAAGCGAAAGCTGCAAGCAGGAAACCTGCAAGGACCCACCAGAAAGCCAGACCCCTTCGAGCAAAACAGCCCTTTCGCTCAACTTCTACAAGTATGACTACAAAACCCAGGATAATTGCACAGCATGGCAGTCTCTTGCAGAAGTCTTGCAGTCCTTGAAGTCAAGCATGAGAGCATAGAAACGCCGATAATCAACAGCTGCAGCCAAGTACTCCTCAGTGAGCTAATGCGTTAGCTGGGAAGTTTCCAAACTCTGCTAAGGCCTTACAGCGATATTGTCTGGAGACGGGGAGCAAAGTACTGGAACTTGGAATTGCCTTCGTTTCGCTTCCGGAAACCTTGTTGTCTGGCGTCTGCTGATTTTTCCAAAAATGCATCTCATGACCGTTGTCACAAAAATTTCTAGCTCAGCAGCACTCTTCAACAGCCTGCTCTGCAGTCACTCCTTCGATAGCCAGAAATTGATCGGTCCTCACTCTCATCATCGCCTCGTACTCCTCGATCAGCGATCAGCATGAGAGCTGCTTGTGCTGAGAGACCTGATTCGAAAAGCGGAATCCCGCTCCTGAAAGATCTCATACCAGTCGTGGGGATGATCCTCAGGGATGCCAGTAAGCTTGCGAAGGAGCTCTCTTGCTTTGGGCCTGTTCCCTCACCACACGTTTTCAAGACTGAGCCAGGCCACATGTCGAGGTGAGCCTGGACCAACGTCTTCAAACTTCCCTGAGTGTCGCTGAGCAAAGGCGTTGATCTCCATCAGGCAGGAAGCTGACAGCAGATAGTCCTCAAGTCCTTAATTGCATCCAGCACTTGAGCACATGTGCAAAAAATCTGCCTTGTCAGGATTCATGATTGCCAAGCTGTATTGTTCTCCAGGATCGGTATGCGAGAGATCCATCATTGCCCGGTCCGGGTGGGTGGGCATGTGAGTGGAACTCCAGATGGCCGACCTCAACCATTGACACGGCTGCCTTCTCTTAGTGCTCCAAAGATGTTGAGACAGCTCTCCTAACCTGAGCCAAACATGCAGCAAACCATGTCTTGCAGCCAATCATTGGGTAGTCGAGTTCGGCAAAGTTCAAAGCCATGAGGCAATCAAAGAGCCAGATCGTGTCCTAGCTAATTCACCCTCTCCGGGCAGGTGAGGTTGCATAGGCAAACGGTGGGAGCACGCCCTGTGAAGCCTTTCTTGGCCAAAACCTCGGCCACAATCAAGGCAACATGCGTTGCTTGTTGCTTGTGCGGATATTAGGCAAAGATCTTGTAAACTCACAACGGTAGTAACGCTCAAGAAATCATGTGGACTGGAACTGACAAAAAATGCATCGCATTGGAAATGAGGCTTCTGCAAACACAGGTGACAGCGGATTCAGAGTCCTGGCGCATGCGACTGACAATCGAGCTGCTGCATGGGAGGGGCTTCACATGTTGCCAGCTTATCACAGCCCACTCCGGGTCTATCTATGTCGTGCAAGATGCCAAACTGGCTATGTGTCAATGTCCTGCAACTCCTGTACGGGTCGAAGGTCTGCGTTGGGATCCGCATCTCGCTTTGCCTCCGTCACACTGCTTCCGAAAGCATACATTGATATTTTCATGCATTTTCACTTCTTGCTTCGCTGCCTGCTTCATCGCCTTGGTGCCTTTGAGTGATGCCCGCAGAACGCCTGTAGCCTCCAAAAGTCTCCGAATAAATCATCAGTCTTTTGCATCTTGATCTCCACATGCGCAGCAAGTCATGGGCCTTGCCCCCCTTCTCCGGCGTAGTGCCAAACCAGGACCTGAGCTGCAGTAAGCATCCCAAAACTGTTCCTGGATTTGGCCGGCATGCCCCTGCCAGGATCTTGCTTACGGCCAACTGGGGGTTGGGGGGATGGGGAAGCTTCAACCAGAAAACAGGCCTTTGGACACTTCCAGTGGTCAGGACAAACAAGTCAAACACCTCACGTCCACTCTGGCAATAGCAGCAGTGAGATCATCACGCAGGCAAGAGCATTCTCTGCGGAGGCAAGCTTCTCCAGAAGACGCGTGGCATTTGGGATACACACTTCATTCCATTGCATGCAAGGACCCTTCATCGCATTTTCTGTCCGCCCTGACTCATTGCTTCCCGCTAAGCGGCTGTTGAGACTCGACCTCACCTATTCAGAGTAAGAAGTTCAAGAGAAAGGGACAGAAAGTTCGCAGAAAGGCGAGCCTGCCATGAGCTCTGTGAGGCTCAGCGACGATGCATAAGGTTTCACGCATTGGTACACACACATCTTTTAAGCACTGCACCCCCAAGACATCTATCAAGACACTTTGCAAATTACAGCTTTGAATTTCATTCCCGCATGCTGAGGTCGAAGGCTTGACAGAGTCAATGGCTGCAGAGATTGAGCTTCGTCGCTGCCTCAGGCCAGTGCTCCGGTCATTCAAAGGCAGGCACAGATTCTGCAAAGATCCGTGCGCATCGTCAGCGGCAGCAGCATCTGGAGCTGCATCTGCAGGACAAAGCCAACTGCAACATTGAGTTAGCGAGCCTGTTTTGTGTCACCTTCTGCAGGTGCTTGCGTCTCATCTTGGCTGGCCGCAAACCTCGACAGGGCTGCTTACCTATTCAAGCGCACAAATTTTCCTGCCTTGCCTTGCCCATTCCGATAATGTGACACCTTCTCCGACATAGGCCTCAACACCATGGCGTAGCACATCAACCCCCACACTGCTTCTGCAGCCAGCTTTGGTGTGAGCTACGGACGCCGAGTTGAGTGCCTTTGTCATGCGCTTCTTGCAAGTTTACCTGCGCCAGGCGTCAGCAGCTCACATCCTTTACAATTCCGAAATCCAGTTGTGTCTAGGTGAAAGTGCCTGTGAGGATAAGTCAGGTTCGTTCACTGCTGCGGAAACTCTGGACAAGGATGATCACACAATGGCGCTCAATGCCCCCCTTTGTTAAGCGACTGCTCAGAGCTCGTGGTGTGCAAGCACCTGTTCTGCTGTCACTGTCAAGTCTAGCGTTGAACCAAGGTGTGGAGTAGCTCTAGGATGCGCAGAGGGATCTGACTGCCTTCCTAGGCTCTTCCTGCAAGGCCTGTGAGTTTCGTTCGGGAGCTCGAATTGATGGTTGTATTCGAGGTTTGGGATTCGAACGCAAACAGTGCAAGGCTTCTGCGGTACCTGTGAACATTTTAGCCATGAATACGAGCATGCGAGATATGAGCACATGTGCGCCTCGACTGGCTTGCCCTGATTCAGATCCTGAGATCCACAGACCCATGTGTAGTTCACAGTTTGCTCCTGTAGACTGAGGTGCATGCGAACTTGTTGGCAAAAAGCACCACGCTGGCCCCTGCCTGGGGGAAATGTGGCTTTGAGCACGGCATGACTCGCAAGTCAAGGTATTGATGCAGGCCATCGCCGGATATCGCCAGAGGGCGAGCTAAGATCCAAACTTGTCGTGCTTCAGTTGCTAGCCCCAAGGCTTTTTCATATGACCTGCACAGCTGTTGATTACAGTTTCGAAGTACGGAACTGCGGCGTGCCCATGCACAGGCCTCGTGTCTGTCAAGCTGTACACGACGAACACCCACTGCGTTCGAGCAAACCACTCCTTCAAGGTTTGGCTTCATCCTTCCTTGTTTTCGGATTGCTTACAGCCATGCCTTCACCAGGTGCGCAGCACGATCGTTGCCGGAGCAGTCCAGGAATTTCAGCGTACGTCCACCAATCTTTCGGGACAACTCTTTCATGTGCAGAGGATACCAGTTCTGGTTGCATTAGCTGGCCTGGAACTGGTGGTGCACCATGAGATTGTTCCTCCAATGTGTGGCGCCATGCTGAATGAATCGGCATGTATTGAAGAACGATCCAGCCTCTGCTCCTCAAAATTCGACATTTGACCAGGGTCATTCTCCTTTTATTTGTTTCAGTATGAGGCAGCGCCTCTGACCACGATGCAAACAGTGATCTAGCCAAGCCTGTATGAGTGCCCCCAGCATAGTGGTTTTGCCCGTGCCTGATGCGCCAACCTTGGCAGCTTCTGGCAGCTAATCAGCTATTCTCTCTCGCACTCTCTCTCTCTCTCTCTCTCGTCGGGCAATCAGCTCTGCAGCCCGGCCCCACCGAACCTTTTCTCCACGCACGAGCGAGCTGCACCCTTACACCCAGATCAGCAGACATGGCACTGCTTCGCGTCCGCTCGCGGGCAGCCCTCTTGAAGTCCTGTGGCCAAGATGATCCTTGTTGAGCTACGTTGGCGTGTGGGCTCAGGCCGGACTGGACTGACGGCAAGGCCTCCCATGTCGCATCCAACGTGAGAGTCGCAGTTTGCGTTGAAGAGGGCTCCATGCCTTGTGGAGGGTCAGGACCAATCTTGCCGCTTCACCACCATCGCACCATTGACGGATCTTAAGCTGTGTAGAACCTGGAAGGCACAGCCACTCTTCAGAGCAGGAGCCGCTGCATTCCCAAACACATCTTGATAGTGCAGCTAGGGCACATGAGAGTCCAGCCTACTGTCAGTCCCATGACTAGACCCGCAGTCGGCAGCAGCCAGAATATCACATGGCGCACGCCTGAAGCCAAAATCTCACGAGGGCATTCTGGCAAGACATCTCCATCACCAATGATTGGTTGAGCCAGCCACTGAAATTTCGCTTCCTTCCACGCATCAGCTCATCGGGCATCTGGACATTTAGTACCATATTGCACGAGATCATCACCTTTTCGAGGGCAAACAACTGACTGCGGCACATGCTCCATTCATGCGCATGAGCTGAATTCAAACTGAGCGACGAGAATGATGGTCTGCCTCATGGGCGACAAAAGACGCAAGGGTGTGACGCTCTGTGAACAAGTCATCACAGCAGCAAGTGTAAAAGGGTCCGGAATACTCCTGGAACCCCAAGAACCCGAAAATTTGGCTTGCCGGGTTTGAGCTTAGCATGGAAGGACCAAGTGCCACTTTACGGCGCCAAACCTGGTGATGGATTGGGGGGATCCGGCACTAAACAAGACAATAATTTCATTGTTGGTGAGAGCCTTACACTGCGCAGCCTCCAACATGGTCTACTTACCTCTACAGCCCCCGCTGGGGCCATGATGGAGGTCACGAGAAACAGGCGTACTTCCGTTTGTATCAATGAATGAAACCGTCATCTGCCTAGCAACTGTGAATCCAGTTGGTTGTATTTCTCGTCCAACGCAGTTGCAGCATTTGCAATGAGAAGTCCTGCACAGCATTGCAAAACGTGTTTTTTGCAGCGCCGTGTGAGCAAGACTGCCTGCGGGCGTTGGAGAGAGGCAGGCAGTAGCCAGTTGGGCTGCCAGTGACAGCGAGCACAGCTGCAATGGGTTGCCTTCCATAGGCGTAATCTGCTGGACGTGCACTGCTCGATTGGACAGTGCCTCCGATCGCCCCAATCTGAGCAATGAGTTCGGCCATAGCAGTGAGCAAGCCTTGCTTGCAGTCTGATAGATGGCTTCAGAGGCTTGAGATCAATAATCTTCTTCTCTTGTGCCATTTGAGAACTCTCCACCCTCCCTGTCTGTAATCTGAATCATTTGCCAAGCAACCACTCCGGCGAATGGCTATGAAAATTGCTTCCCCACAACCAATTGTCAGACAAGAATTCCAATCAAGAATCTCCTTGGCTGGTCTGCGAGTGTCACGAGATTGTTGAAGCCACGCGTTTCACGCCCAAGCTTCCGGTATAGCATCTGCCTTTACCGCAGAGGTAAGCAGGAGCATTCCCACAATAAACAGGCAGCCAACCAAAATGTTGGTCCTTCGGGTGCAACAAGTACACTTGGAAGTGCAAAATTGCATGCTTGACGGCCCCGCACGCCAGTCCTTTGCCAATTGTCCTCACGTCACTACGCATATCTGACAAGATAAGGCAACGAAGACGCAGCAACTTTTGGCACACAGCGCAGCCAAGGATCCAAAAGCAAAGCAATGATGAACGCGATGATTGCAAACACGCCTCGCCTTGGTGCTGCACGTTTGCCATCCACTAAGATGATTTCACTATTATCGTCAGCCCACGAGTAAAGTTTCTCTGCAGCTAGTTGGTTTTGATCTATGGTAGCCCTCGAACATTTTCCCTCGCCTTTTCCGCGTCGTGTGCATTTTGAGGGGAAGACCAACAAACTGAACCCTGTGGCCCAGCAGTCCCGCCTCGACAGGGTAGCTGAAGGACAGGCAGCTGCGGCATGTAGGGCGACACTGTGCAAGCCAAGCCCCCCAATGTTCATGCTTAGCGCCAAGGTTGGCAAGCAGAAGCGCACGCAGTCATCCAACACGTGCAGTGCGAAGCACTGCAGGGCCGGCAGGGCGACGCGCACGGCAAAGCTGCGCAGGCGAAGCCGTGAATCAGGAGTGCAGTTCCAGCTTGGGAGCCAGAACAATCTTGAGCGTCCTTATATCCCGAACAGCTTTTGAGCTGGAAGGGTGTGTGCTAGGCCAGCTCACAGCTTGAAGGGCGCTTTTGTTTTACAGCATTCCTGTTAGGAGACCAGGTAGGAGCCAGGTCATTCATGGCAGACCTTTGCTTCAAGAAACACTGGAAACTCAAAGGTTTCCGGATATCGGTGGTACGGACGCAGTTGATGCCACAAGACTGTATCCTTCTGATGTGGAGAGGGCCTGAGCTTTTTGGACGGCTTTCTGGCGTAGGCCAGTTGAGAGCGAGCAAAACGATGATGTGGCGTTGCAGGAGTTGCTCCCGACGTGCCAGGACAAAGGCTCACCGTCCAATTGGTTGGCACAGGTTCGAGTGCAAAGGTAAGTCAAGACGCGAAATCCGGGAAAGCACTTAATTTACGATGTGGACAACTTGTTAGCACTTAGATCCTAGGTCTGAAGTTTCAATCTGCGCAGAAGGCTTTTTTGGGGAAGGTGTTCTTTCATCTTTAACTCAAGCTGAGCATGCTGGAATTCAAGAGCACACCTGCCAAGAACAGAACGAAGGATCTGGGAGCCAGTAGAACTATCCTTCGGCAGATGTTTTGCCAACTTTTTGCTGCTGTAGCTCATGTACGTGGCTAGGCCATACGAGGCCGGTGCCACATGTCCCGAGAGCGACCATGACGCGGTGCCTGCAGCAATCGTTTATTTTTTCAAAACGGCAAGAGCTCTGTATTGCCAAAAAATTGCCCTGTGCTCTGCTAGCTCAAGTTGCGCTTTCTCAAGGTGTACTATTCGGCCATTTTGCCTGGGAGTTCGGAACCAGGCCAGAAACCAAGAAGTTCCGCTGCGTGGTTTGTAGAGTCGGGAACTCCTCTTCAAAATCCCCTGACTTGCCAACAACTCGCTAGACCTTTCAGAATCAAGCACTGCAGGTGCCAAATATGCCGCGGCTTATCCCCTCAGATCTCCTGAAACGCATCAAGAAGGATGACATCTCCAGCATGGAGGATGTCGGAGTTTGCACATAGTGGCCGGCTTCGGCAGCCTGCCGCTTCCTCTGAACAAGAAAACCAGCCAGTGTCATGCTGTATGTAAGGTAAGCCAAACTGCTTCCGTGTTTGCATGCAGCAAAAGCGTAGCACGTGCTCCTCGCGGCGCCATGCGGCTAAAGGATACCCTCTGAACATGCGCACGGACCAGGGCACCACCTGAATTCTGGCTCTCCCATCTGCTAGCGGACCTAAGATCCCAGTGCAACCCCAGGAACCGACTCTTCATTGGAGTTGGCTATGGGAGGGTCTCGCAGCCCAAGCAGGTCCTGATCAGACAAGCTTGCGTAAGGGTTCATACTAGTATGTGTCAAGCCTGCTCAATGACTGATCACATCAGTCAGGTCCTCCAAAGTCTTGCCGATCAACTCACTCCCAGGTGCCACGACCTCAGTTGCTGCAACCTCGTGCAGCTAGAGGCGCTTGGCTTTCAATAAAATTGGCTTTTGCAGGTGGCACTCCATCATATCTTAAGCCCCAGCACTGGCATTAGCAGCAAGTTGCACTTTCGTAAAGCCTCCTCTCATGGCGGTGTCCACCCAGGATCTGATGGCAGTGCAGTCCTTCACTTTCGACATGCACTGGGGCTGCACTTGCCTCCTGCTTGTGGGCATGTCCTCGCATCACGAACACGCCTGGGTAGCGGCGCATTGCGCAAACACCTGCTGCAGAACATCCTCAGCTGCATGGGCTGTAGGTTCACGGCCAGGCCCGTCAAGATTCAAGCAAAAGCCGCAGGTCCGCAGACAAAAAAGACCTACAACTTCTGCAGGATGGAGGACAACCTCCCCCTGTGTTCGCCGGCGGCCCAGTGGCTCGCAGTGATCACATCATCCACTTCCAAGCACCAGTCATCCAAGTCAAGAGCAGATGTCAAATGCGAGAGAAGTTGGGGATCGGCATCTGCACTGCGCTGAAGCCTCCTCACAGCACACAGGCTCCCAGTGATTGTTGGGCCATGGCACCCAGCGCCTGGAAATCCGATGGACCAAAACGTCTCTGGAGTTCATGAAGCCAGCAGAACGCAGGGTATGACCACAAACCATGGAGCCCGAAACGATCACAAAGTCCAGCTCCTTTTTGTTTGCAGCGTAGGGTTTGTAGTTTTGCTTGCAGAGCATGCAGGTATGTCTGGATTCTGACCAGCTGTGTCAGGGAGGAACAAGGCTCCAGAGAGCATCCTAATCGCAACCGAGGGTCGTAGGGCCACCTCTCCTCAGACTCCACAAGAGCCAGGGCTGACCAGAGACTCTCTCAGCAGCCAAGCATCCAGTTCGCAGGCGATGCGAAAGGAATTAGAGGATGCCTGCACATTGTTTTTGGTCTCAAGCTCGCTACTGGAACCACATCGAAGCTGCATAATCAAGAGATGCCATTGGGTGGGCCTGCCGTTTGTAATCAAAAAAGCCAACGAACACGAAGCGTGCTTCAGGCTGTTTTGGGTATATAGGCTTGGCAGCGCTGTCCACCCTGGCAACTATGCTGTTGCAAGCTATGCCGATGGTCCTGAAAATCTCTGTTCTGCTCCGCCGTTGGGCCCAGCAGGTGTGGATCGCTGAAACCAGTTCTTCGTCGCACCTCTGCAGAAGTTAAAGGATCTCCAAGGATTCTGGACTTGCCGGCGCACCTCCTCCGGCTTGACAGCATCGCTTTTAGACAGCATGTCCCCGACAAACATGGCGTAGAGACCGAGCACCGATGCACTCAGTACTGCCTCGGGTGGCCCGAATGAAGGCTCACTTCGTCTGCTCCCGAGAAAAATTCTGGCTGCCAGCGCTTGCGCATCCTTGACAGGGACCGAGCAGCAAGTGGCGTTTGCGAGTTCAGCTTGAGGGAGCAAGTTCTGCTTGCGCACCTTGACAACCACCCTTGCTCCATTACCACTTCACAAGCCGCGCATGAGATGCAATCATGCCAGGACAGGAGCATTACATCACGTATAGCGATGGATGATGGACTACTTGTCACAAAAACAGAATTCCCGCACGTAGCTGCCACGACCATCATCCTCGGAGCAGGACAGGCTTGCCGAGGAAAGACGAGCCAAGCTCACAAAATCTCATGGAACTTCATGGACCAAGATTCAGGAGCAGCGGCCGCACCTTGAAGTCATGGCATTTTGCCCACTGGATGATTACGGGAGTTGCTGTTGCAATTGTCGCAGTCGCACCGACAATGGCCTGAGTTGCATTTTGAAGACCTTTTGCCCATGTTGTAGCTTGAAACTTTCAACCGGCGACCTCAACAGACGGCTTGCTGAGTCGCTCCTAGACAGAGCGTTGCGCTGTAAAGTCGCAGACGCGCAAAGGTGCCTGCCAACAAGGTGCAACTTCCGAGCTTGCAGTAGCTGAAATGAAAAAGACTCGAATTGCAGGTATGTGCTCCCTATGTTCGCCGCCTGACGCATGGAATCAAAAAAGCATCCTTTAGTTCTGCTTGCGCTTGCACCGCCCAAATGTCTAGAACAGGTGGCTAGGTTGAGGAGTCCTTCTGTGCTCGCTCATTCCAACATTTGACTGTGCGCCTAAGCTTCGACAGCCATTGCACTTCCAGTCCTCTCATATCAAGCAAACTTGGATTCCGCCCACCTTGGTTTGGATGCCGGCCCAGCATCCGCAGCAAGGAAAACTCCATTATTCCTCTACTGAGCAAGCCAGGTCGCACAGAAAACATAACAGAATCATCATGCCACTGTCAATCAAATAGCATGATCTTGCTCGAAATGCAAGCTCAGAAAAAGTGTTCAATGCTGTATCTCTTGACACTTCTTCATACTGCAACATACAGAGCACAGGGTTTCGTAAGTCCTGAGTCACTGATGCCCCGGATGATCACAAACTGCAGCTGAGGCAGCCATGGCCCAACCCTTGGCATGAGTTGACAAAGGTCTGCATCCTTGTACTGTTCAGTCTGATGAGCTTCAACAACTCTCTGCTTTTCGCAAACTGCTTGCAGCCAAGCCTCCGCGCAAAGCCAGAAACAATGTCTCGGTAGGTCAGCAAGCCAAGAAGCGCAAGAACAACTAAGTAGCCACAAAACCTCAGATATGGCGGATCAGTAACTATTTGTCATTGACGCATGAAGCCGTCTTGTCTTCTTAACCAGTCGGGCCTCTCTTCTTCTTTCTCTCTGGAGCTGCGCTCCAATAGATTCGATCGACTCCAGGTATCAGGCCGGAGGATGAAAAATAAGTGTCACAGGACACCACGCTCAGGATTCAGGTGTATGCAAGCCTTCCGTCGCACAAGAACCAGCGGAAGCGTTCAAGTTAAGATTATTGGTTAGCGATGATTGGCAGAAGTAGTGAGGCGCCCCAACCCCACTGCGAGGGTGGGGAATAAAAATAGAAATGCAGGTGGGTTTGACTCGCCATCCAAGTGCAAGCGCGTGGAAAAATACATTTCGCTCCTGCGAGTACCTTCAATCTGTGCAGCATTCTGGGCTCTCTTTGAGATACACCTCGCATCCAGCCTTATTCGCATGCTTTCATAATTTGGGCAAAAGCCCAAATTTCTGCATGCGTGCGCACCATGCGAGGCTAAGCAAAGATCCGGGCCTCATCGTCAAATAGTCGCAGGAACTCAAGAGCAAGAATCTCTCAGACAACACGATGCCGAGGTGGCTACTAAGTAAGTCAGGTCTATCATCGCAGGATGGCCCAGGCAAGAAACAATTGTGCTATAGAATGCCGTGAGACACGAAAGCAGCGCGCACTCCATTGAGCAACTGAGTCAGGCAGAAGATCAAGGACACCAGGGTCCTGCACTGCAGGGCCATCGCCACACCATGACATAGATCAACTCCAAGCAAGGTGCAGTGCTGATGGAGTGGTTGCAGCAAGGCTTCTGTTGCAAGCCATCTTGGGGTCCAACAAACAGTTGTCTAGGACCTACCCTTGCTAAGACAAGCCCTGACAGTCGTGTAAGCTGCCCATCGAGGATGTTGCAGAACAGGGTTGCCGCACATTGAGGTGGGCTTCAGCGTGAATTCTATGAAAACCTTTGAACGAAGCACTGACGGCATGAAACACATGCAACCCCCGCATCACACAATGTCTATGTTCTCTTCTCTAAGGCTCTTGCGGCCAGCAGCGCAGCAGCAACATTAGCCACAATCAGCCAAGGTGGAAAGGCCACGGACAGCTTGCCCTCGGCTGCATGGCGCCGACTCTATCACCGTCTTTGCGTCATAACAGTCTCAAAAGAAGCGACCTCTACAGCAAGTGCGGAAAACAATACAGCACTAGGAACTGCTGACTTGTCGATGGGACGTTGGACCGGTGCAGCTGGCGTCTTCAAGAGGTTCAGGAGGCGTAGAGCATGTTCAGCGCGTTCCAGTGAGCTACGCGTGCCCCCCGCTGAGGCAGCAAGCAAAGCCGGATCTTCCCGCAGCAGGTCCTGAGCCGGACCTTTCAGACGGAGCAGGTGCATGCTCAATCAAACAGCATCATCTCTAAGCTGTCCTCCAGGTTCTTGCCAAGACATGCTGTCTGCAGCGGCTCATGGCTGGGATGTGCCCCCATGGCAGTTTTGCGCGTTGAATATTAGTACGCACAATTACAAACCTGAAGGTGGAGAATCCACATTAATTTTACGTACACAGGTTTCTAGCTGAGATTCTGGCTGCTCCTTGTCGCTAGCTGGCCAGTCCAGTGGCTGCAACAACCAGCTGTGAAGTGCTTCCGTCGTGACAGCCCATGAGCCCATGCTTGCAAGACAGTCGCTTTTAGCACACACTTTTGTTCGATCACAACTGCACGTAGCTCAGCTGACACAAGAGAGCTGTGGGCAAGGCCAATTGGATGAACACGTTCCGGTTCCCACGTCCCGCAGTGCGAGCTACAGGGGCTGGAGCGCCTTTGGCTGTTCTGGTTTGCATCATGCCCAGAAGCAATTTCCAACCCAAAATGCAAATCTGCTCTGCAAACTACCAAATACAGCGCGTAAGTAAGGACAAAACCAGCACTTGCACCCACCGACCTGGCATGTTCCACTGAACATTGCCCCGATGGACAGCAGAGGACAGCATAGCCCGGAATGAAGGCGGCCCATGTAAGGGTGATGGAGCAAAAGGGCAACTGAAACCTTATTGAGAGCTGATTCTAAGAGATTTGTGCGATTATTGAGCAGTTGACACAATCAGAAATTGCTGCGAAAATTGAATGCCACTGAACCCAGTGTTGCGTAATGCCCACCCGTCCACCCAAAATCATGGCGGCATTGCTGCATGGCTGTGCTTCGCAGAAGTTGCTGGTAATTGGCCTTGCTTGAACGGATTTCCATCAGTTGCATGTGACATCATGTGGCAACCCTCCCGCGCCTCTGCTGCTTTCAGAGACTCCTGCTGTTTGGCATGCGTCTCCTAGCAGCCGTGGTCTCTTAGTCCCATATGGAGCCACATTTTGCGCAAGCTGCGCTCCTTCAAGTCCTGAAGCTCTTTGCGCAGCCCAGCCAAGTCTTCATCCCTTTGGCTGAGCTGGCTGTTTAGACCCCTGGCCAACAACATGCACAGCCGGAAACACATGAAGGTCATCTCTGACTTTGGGCAGCCCGGCTCCATTTTCTCAGCCTCGACAACCGTCTTGGACTGATCCGCCTCAGAGATTTTTGGTATGAGGCTCCACACGTGTCAGAAGAACTTGGTAACTAGGTCGTCTGCTGCCAACTTGGCAGCTTCAGCAGCTTGCACCTTCATCTCCTGCATCCCCAAACATGTCACGTTCCATCTGGCAACGATGGGTGAAGAAAAAGAGCTCCTCGAATTGATGCTGCATCTGCTGCAAGGTCTCCTGCAAGGTCGTTCTCTCACATCTGACAGGGAGAGGCTAGCACCTGCTGCCAGTCAAAGAGGTGTCCTCGAGGTGCTTGACTTTGTTCGACAGAGTTTTGTTCTCTGATTGAAGCTGAAGCTGATGGGCCTTTCATGCAGCAAGGTGCGAAAGCCCAAAACCAAGCGCAACGTCTCGTGCCTCCATCTCCTCGTTATGCTTCCTCAGCTCAGAGGCCTGGCGACAGGCAAGACTGGGAAAAGCTGGCATGCTATGCGAGGAGATGCTGCCTGCTCTTGAGCCTTCTGTGCTTTGGCCATCATGGCACCCACCTGAACGCAGCACTTCTGCACTTTGGCTCCAAAGTGCAACCAAACCTAGAAGCACAGCGATCAGCCAGCCTCCTTTGCCTCCTGCTTCAACTTTTTCAGTTGCCCCTTGGCGTTGCGCATCCGCAATCGCCTCAATGCTAGGATGACTTATCTGGTGCTCCAGCTTCACAGAGAAGCGCCGAGAATGCGACTGCTGAGCAAACTGGATTGATAGCCTCCACACATGTTAAATGTGCCGAAGCCTGCATTAAGCAACATGTCACAACTGCCCAGCCTTAGTGCATCGTAGATCCTCTGGTCCTTTTTGGTGCGGACCAAGCTCTGGAGCCTGCCGAGCATGGTGGCGAAGCGTTGCCCATCTATGCCCCACATGCTCGGCACACCTGGCAGCGCTGACATGGCGCTTGTGCTCCTTGGCATACCGCCGGCCGAGCACCCCCCGCCGCACAGCTTGAATCTTGATCACCTGATCACGAAGGGCTCCCAAGTCTGGGCAGCTTTTGCCTTATCAATCCGCTGCCTTGCGCAAGATGTTTTGGTACCTGGTTCGGGCCTCGGGGAAGCTCCAGCGCGGCTGGGCATGCATGGCAAACAGTTCCACGATATTGTGCAGCACAGCACGCGAGCAAACAAACATGGCAATGTAATGTGGGATGATGTGGGGACTGCCTCTGCTTAAACGTACAAAACACAACAGGACTGGCCTAAGCTTTTCCTTTTTCTCTTATGGATGAAAATCCAGGGCTAGCCATGCAAAGTCAAAATACAAAGCTTGTGCTCTTGCCACTTCTTCTCTCCATCCAAGTGTTGCATGTTGCAGGCTTTAGAAGCTGTGGATCGATTCCGCAATCAGCTGGGCTCTCTGCCAACTTCGCCCGGGCAGATGCTTGCAGCTTCGTAGCGCTGTCCTCCGACCTGTTTGCAGGAGCCAAGCCAACAAAACCAAGCGAGTTGACAGTGCCTTCTCCGCTGCAGGTCAGCACGAGCCTGCTGCTTTGAGCTTGCCGGGTTTGCAAGCTTCGACCGAGTCATGGACGACTGCACCAGTATCGACAGTTTTTGAGAGGAGCACCTGCTTCGAGCGTAGCAAAGCTTGCACCTTAGCGCAGCCAAAACGTCAAAAGGGCAAGGCAACTTGATGTGGCGAATCCTCAGATGACATTGCTTCACTAGCAGCTTCCACACCTTTGATGCTGTTCCGTGCACGGGATGAAGCAATATCGGCGTACGTTGGCGATTTTGTCTTCACCTCACGTAACTCCTTGGCGTAAGCTGCACCTACAGTGGCTAATGCACGGAATCCTCCTACGTCTAAGCTGTAACAACCTGGGCTTAAAGGTTTGAAAACGCGCCCGAACATGCCCGACCTGGAGCAGTGAAGCCCTCGTTGACATCCAAATTGGACTTCTTAGCGGATTCCGCATGCCATGCAGCGGCGGACCCCATCACAGCGGAAACATGCTTCCTGTGACACTATGTAAGGATTGTATGAATCCCATGGTTCCGTCAATGTACTGCAATACAGGCTTTCTCTACGAGTCTCGGCCGCAAGGATTGGCCACTGCAAAACGTCTTTCTTGCAACCCCCTGCCCACAGCCGTACTCCCGGAACAGCAGTGTACACTGGGTATATTGCAATAGTTCCATAATTTTTCGGGGCGAGTGACTCTTTTCTCTATCGACCATCATTTCGGGTGAGGTCAGGCTGTGTCGTTTCAATTTTGCGAAAGCGTTTGTAATCCTGGCACATGTACCACAGTTTCACTTGTTTGTTTTGGTCGAGAAGGACAGTTAAGAAATACAATCCACAGAATGGAAATGTGCGAGATCCCGGTGAAAGTGATGAGCGATGTGAACACCCAGACCCGACACGAGATAGCACCCATCATTACCTGACCAAGTCCGGCTAAGAAGTATTGATAACCTGGCGGCATCAGTGACCAGACCAATTCTGCAGAACAAAAGTTACATATCAATGTAGGCCGTGGAGAAACTATGAAACACTGAATGCGGGCTTTTACACATGCAAATGTGTTTGGGTGTCTCGACAGCCCTGCTCTCATTACTATACAAATTCATGAGAAACTCAGTCCAGCAAAATTCTCAGACAAACCTTCCCAAACTGCAGACAATTCTCTCAAACCTTTCTTGTCTGCTACCCCTCGATCGCTGGGAAGCCAGCGTGTCGAGTGAAGAGGCGAATGGCAACAAACCTGATCTCAATGATTTTGGATCCTGCCTAGAAATTGACCAATGAGGCCAATGCTTTGCCGCAGTTCAGCAAATCTGTAAGGAGAACGCATGCGGCGTCGAACCTTGCCTCGCCACGAAGCCTGCCAGGTCACAGCATAAAAGCAAATTTCTAAAGTGCTAAAGCATATCACACAAGCCTGGATGAGCGTCGTACTCTTGATTAGAAGCTCAAGGCCTCAGGTGGCACAGCGGGATGTGCATATTGGTGCGACATTTTGGGTCTTGCTTGCAGAGCATTGCAGATCTTTTCCTGCTTCCACTGACAGCCGTCATCGCGCTTCTAACCATGTTAGCTCGCAAGGACTTAAAATCCACATCCGGATGCAAAGACACGTCGTACAAGATCAAAATCTGTGGGGGACCGGTCACGTGCAGATAGCCCAGCCTGATCAGCTTAAGTTGCTCATCGCTTGGGAGTGGCTGCGGACGCGAAGGTTTGGAGGCTCCACAGCTGTTGAACTGTTGGCACAATTTGACACGTTTATACCCAACACAAAGGCACATGTCTACAATGACAAAAGATGGCGAAAGTCATCGGGATCGCGACCCCTACATTCCCCTACGTTATGGACCAATTTTCCATAGGTTGCGGGCAATGCTCTCACCTTCACGCTCAGCATAAACTTGCTTTCCTTGCAGATTTTTCTCAACAGTTGGGGTCATGTTGAGGTCCAGATCCCTGTCTGCTTCCTATGGGCTTTCTGAATGCGTTCTGGCACTGCTATCAAGAACATGGCAAGACTGGATTATGATCCTGCAGCCAAGTCACTCTTGCGTTAAGCCCCCGCTAAACTGCGGCTTTGCGCAGTTTCGGATGTTGGCATAGAGGTGCTGGGCTGCCTTTCGGTTGACAGAGACAACCTCCGAGCTGTGGTAGTGGCCGGGTTGCTTTGACATCAGATTCTCTGCGGCAGAAAAAAAGCCTTTCTCGAACAGCAACGAGGGAATATCGAAGGAATTTTCTGGTATAGCTGCAATTGACGAAGAATTCAACAGCCCCTCTCCGCGCAGCATTGACACCAGAGGATTCCACACCTGACGTATGTCAGAGATGACCGACATTACTTCTGTTAGGCCCTGTTCAATGTCCAGATCAAAAAGCGCATATAGATTGAGCGCGATGGCGGTGGCATTGCGCGGTAGGAGCAGGAGGTGGACGTGGTCCAGTGCCCAGGAGCTTACAGCATGGTCAAGGCTGTTCCCAACTTCCAGACTCAAGTGACCAAAGCTCTGGAGCTTAAGAACCAAAAACTCACGAACATCAGGCTGCAATGCGTCCATAGCTGCACGTGTGGCACCTCTGACAGACCAGAGCGGTGTTGAATCTCTGAAAAACGGAGTAGGAAATGCATCCAGCAAATTCAGAAAATCTGCTTTACGTCTGTGAAGGAGTGGTCTGCACAGCTGCACATCGTGGATCCGACGCCAAGCCCACATCCCTTCAACGTCCCCCAGCACGTGTCCCTTCATGAGATGGTCGAGACGGTTCTCGTCTACATCATCTTGGTGATGACCGAGAACAACTGCTGAGCTCTCTCCCGCACTTTGCGACAGGAGGCAGCCGTACATTCTGTAGCGAATCTCTTTTGTCCACCGCTCGTAGTCCTCCCTAGACATGCCAGACGTCTCGCTCCGCGCATCGGCATGAGGGCGCGCAAGTCGTACCTCATAGATGAAAAAGTCGACCTGCAAACGATGACACACCCACGAGGCCCACTGCTGCTCTGCTCTGACTTCTTCCGGCTGTCGATTCGGGTACGATAGAAGGAGGCACGAAATGCGAGGTCCTTGGAAGCACCGCCTTAAAGCGAGTAGCAAGATCAGGTGGGCAGTGCTGTCCACACCACCGGAATATGAAAGCAAGATGTGTGCTGCAGGCATCATCAACGAGTGACTCGCAAGGTCACGCTGTAAATCTTGGCACAGTGGGTGCGAGGCCAGCTCATCCCAAGCACGATCATGGCTTGCCCACTCGAGGCAATTTTCAGGAAGATGTCCAGAGAAGTCTAAGCACGCATTGGCCAGGCAGACAGTGGCAAGCGGCCTCGCGCCATCGGACGTTGCTCTGCAAGGAGTATGACTTGCCAAAGCTTCACGGACATAGGCCTCTGATTCCAGCTTTGCAAGAACTTCGGCATTGTGCGCACGGAAAGCATCAACTGTGGCATGCGCCGCAGACTTCTGCAGCTCATCCAGCAGCTGCTGTGCGACTCGCACATCTTCCAGATCCTTGGTGTGCCTCAAAACCAGCGTAAAGAAGCAGACCTGAGCAGTTGTGGCACCTGTTGCCTCCAGAAGTCCTGCACAAGAACGGCTGACTTGAAGGATCTTCCCAGCCAGGATCCGAGCTATTCTTGAGCAGCGAAGAATCTGATTCTCAACATTTGATTCCTCCTCGCCCTTCTCGCTTTGGTTTCTGTCCAGTATGGCACGCTGATTTCGTGACTGCTGGTCCAGGAAAACAGCCAGTTGCAGTTGCAACGTGGGATCTAGACTTTCCAGAACGACGGGCTTTGACTCATAGAGGTGCTCTGCGATATGGAGTGGCTCGCGGAACTTTTGGAACAAATGTCTGAAGAGCTTGCGATCTCGAGGACGCTTAGCTCCGAACCAGAAGCCTTGCACAGAATCTGGCTGTGATTTGTCCGGAAACCATATGCCATGAAACTCCTGCACAGCCTGAAGCAGCCTGGACAGGGGGCCAGAAATCTCATCTTCAGCCATGTTGCATTGCTGTTGCGGAGCCCGTCCTACTGTCTTGTGGAATCCTGTGGAGTAAGCTAATCATATTTCCGCTGCCCGTCTAGACGTATGTATTGAGAACTCATGAAAAAGTGCAGGAATGCACGAGTTACTCTGCATGTGGCGCTACTTCCCAGACAATGGTCGAGGCACGGGGGGCGGCTGGTCGCTCGAGCAAAAACACGTCAGAAGAGGATAGAGGCTAGAGGAGGTCATCATGTCAACGTGTAGGGATACAGGGATGGCTGAAACTTCTCCTGAGCAGCAGGCGAGCAAACTTCACTCGTTCCTTGGATTCGCTGACCCAAAGGCGCTTCCGGCATCAAAGGCACCCATCTGTGTTGCTTCGATTCTTGTCTCTCTTAGGGTCTCCTTACACAGATTATCTGGTAGGCCACACTAAATATGCGAGTATACAGGTAAGAGGATTCCCCACTCCCCCACCGAGCCGCCTGTGTGGACGCGCCCTTCGGGCGACTGGAATTTAGGGGTTAAATTGGCTCAAGGTTTTCCAGGATGTGGGTTTGCATGGTTCGAGTTTTAAGATTTTGCTGCATGGAGCTTGAGGCGCTTAGGGTCTCAGATTTTGAGTACTCACGACAGTGGCGAGGCCTAGGCAGGGCACAGCTTGTGGGCAAAAGATGCAATTCGGCCACCTACCCGGAAGCTTGTCGAAATCCAGCGGCCGGGGTCAACACAAGCCTATAGGACAGGAATAGCAGTGCAGGCAATGTGCGAGCGAGGCTCACCTGGACGCAGAGCTCACACGCGAATAGCTATACAGCAGCGTTGCAGTGAGTGCAATCATATATTTAGTGTTCCCCGCACTAGAATTACTGGTATGATTGCTATTCCCACTAGGAACAGTAGCATTAATAGGGGCAGCAATAACAGTAGCAGCAAGTTGTCGTAAACATGCGGCCGTTGTCGTTGTAGGCACACTAATCGCAAAAAACTGAGTAGCAGTAGTCGTGTAATAGTAGTAGCAGCAATACTGTCATCGTGATACTACAACGAAAACTGATCATCACCAGAAGAACTGCAATTTCTGGACCAGCGCAATCAAAAAATAAGTTACTGATAACAATAACGTGCTGTTAGTTATACTTTTTCGGTGAGGTATTTGACCGTCAGAAAGATTTGATCAGGAAAGCCACCACGCCGCCAGTAGCAGTGATAATCTCATTTCGATACGAAGCTTATATTAGTTTTGCCATGCACAACTACACAAACACGACAACAATTTCGACAACAACAACAGCAGCAGCGGCGATGGTTTCATGTTGACTTGAATCTGGTTTGATGGGTACGTTCACTGAGCTCGCGGGTTTTCAGAACTGGTTTGTAATAGGAGCAAGTGACTTTCTGAAGCAAAGTGCTTCCTCCTGTGGCTTCGTGCTCATTTCTAAACTTCTAAACGTCATGTCATTTAGCGGTCTGCGGACTCGGGTGTCAGTGTGCAGATGTTGGCATTCGTCTGTTGCCTGAATTTGCCACATTGCGGCGCCAGCCATGCAAGAGTGTTTTCAGTGGCAATCGCAGTATTTTTGCCTTGCAGACGCAGCAACAAAA